GTATAAAATACCTGATGTAGTGCACTATGATGAAACAACACCTTATACACCCTACCTAGTGCACTAGACATCCTCACTAAGGTATAAGGGGTCAGGTTGCTCCCTATTCCTTATCTAAGTGCACTACTTGGTGTATAAAACACCTGATGTAGTGCACTATGATGAAATGACACCTCACACACCCTACCTAGTGCACCAGACATCCAAATTAAGGTATAAGGGTTCAAATGGATCCCTAATTCTTATCCAAGTGCACTATATAGTGTATAAAATACCTGACGTAGTGCACTATGATGAAACAACACCTTACACACCCTACCTAGTGCACTAGACATCCAAATTAAGGGATAAGGAGTCAAGTGGATCCCTGCTCCTCATCCAAGTGCACTACATAGTGTATAAAAGGGGTCAGGTTGCTCCCTATTCCTCATCCAAGTGCACTACATGGTGTATAAAATACCTGATGTAGTGCACTACATGTCCAGTAGGGAGCCAGGTGGGATTCCGCTCCCAGCTGCTACAACTTCCTACATAATAAACACTCTTCTAAGGGGGTATAAAATAATACACCCTACATAGTCCACTATATAGGGAGGCATTTGGGACGCGTCCAGGGCGCCACACAAACACACATCCTGTTGTTGTTTACTACGAAAGCTCCAGTGTAAACAAACGGAGCTCCACTGACAGCTGCAGCTGATGTCAGCGTCAAACCGGAGGCTTTTACACGCAGCACAGTGTCACACAGCGCTTTAACTCCCACACACTGTTGTGCTGTTGTTGTGTTGCGTTCTGAAGCGCATCTCAGTGCTGTTGTTGTTGTTGTTGTTGTTATCACCTTGTACACATCGCCGTAGGTTCCGCTACCGATCCTCTGGATCAGCTCGAAATCCTCCTGCGGGTTCCGGCGCGACAGGTCCAAACCCGAGTTCATGGCTTTTCTGTTGCTTTCCTTCCTCCGCCGCTTCTGTCGCTCAAACCCCGGAGCTGGCGGTGCAAACACCGCGGGCGGAGACGCGCACCGAAACACTACACGACGCCTCCGCGGCTACCCAACTCAACATGTCCGTCGGTGCGCGCTGCGCTGCGCATGCGCACAGCCATCCGCCTCTTTCGCTCTATCGCGCATTTCCCCCCTGCACGTCTTCACAAGGACCTCTCTAGGCTGGCTATCTCATTCGCCTGATTTAAATTCATTTTTAAATTCTCAACTGAACCAAACCTACGCTACCGCTTTTAATTTTATAAACGTTTAGCTTGGGAAAACAATAACTCATAACAAACAAAACAGTTTCGCTTATCTCGTTATTCAAACTTTAAAAAAATGCGAAACTGAAATAGTTATTGACAGCTAGCAAATAGCTAGCGAATTCCGTTACTACAGCTAACAACGAAACAAAATTCACTGAGCTAAAAGTTCCAAGGATACATACTATAATGTATCTATATACAAATTTAATTTATATACGAATTCATTTTATTGCAAAAGAAACAACACTACCTGGAATCAGGCACATAAATGTCTACCTAAATATTTGTAATTCCTTAAATTCATCCAATGAGATTGAGACCGGAAGCCGACGGGGTGCAGGATATGTATAGGATGTTGTTTAATGTACGACACGTATAACTCTCTCTCTCTCTCTCTCTCTCTCTCTCTCTCTCTCTATATATATATATATATATATATATAGAATGTGTGTGTGTGTGTGTGTGTGTGTGTAATGTACACAGTCAGTTTATACAGCCAGAGACAGAGACAAGTTGTCTACTGGTTTAGATCTTACTTGACACTCAATTACCAGGTTGTTAGTGTTAAAGGAGATTCTTCAGAGTCTTAAAATGTACTTGATGTTCCACAAGGTTATGTTTCAGGCTCTTTACTGTTCTGCCTTCATATACAGCCTGTTAGACATTTTTTTTTTAACTTGATAGAAAGTAATTAAAACTAATATTAAACAGTTTCTAAATGCACAAATTAGTGGGGCCTGTATGATTCAAAAATAACTCAAGAGAAAATTCAGCAGTATGCCACCAGCAATACACTATGAATTACTACTATCTTCTAATGAAGAATAGTCAGGTTTAATAACTTTTTTCAATGAATTTAGTCCTATTGATAATGAGCTCTATACTTTGACACTGTCCTCTAGACCAACCACATACTTCACTCAGTACTGTCCTTCACACTGTTATCAGCAATTATGGAGCTCCTATTTAACCTGAGCTTGGGACATGTCCCCAATTTTTACAAGCTGTCCCTTAGAGTGCCTCTTAAATCAAAATGAGCATTTTAGAGCTTTTTGTACCTTTTGCACAGTGTCCATCCATCCATCCATCCATCCATTTTCCGTACTGCTTATCCTACACAGGGACGTGGGGAGCCTGAAGCCTATCCCAGGGGACTCCCTGAGTACAAGGCGGGGGACACCCTGGACAGGGTGCCAACCCATCGCAGAGCACAATCATTCACACACACTACAGACAATTTGGAAATACCAATCAGCCTACAATGCATGTCTTTGGACTGGAGGAGGAAAGTAGCGTCTCCAGAGGAAACCCCTGAAGCATGGGAGAACATGCATATTCCACGCACAGGGTGGAGGCGGGATTCGAACCCCCAACCCTGGAGGTGCGAGGCAAACATACTAACCACTTCCACAGTGTCGGAGATAGCAGAAATATGATAGTATACCTAGAAAAAAAAAGTAGAAAAAAAAATTCTTGGAGATATTCTTAATTTATTTGTATAGGTCATCACGTACGGGAAAAATAACAATTGTTTGATGACTGTACTAGTCTTGTATTCATCCAATTAAATACTCTGTAGAACATGTATATGTCCTTACTTTACACAATAACAGCTCATTAGCAGCAAACATGATTTTTTTTGGTATGTCTTTGGTCATGTGTCTTCCCACACACTATTCCCTTTTCTAACCATTGCTTGGTTGAAAAAAGAAATTTTGAATAGGGTGGAATTTGTGGAAGTTGGCAGTGATGTGCCAGGCACTTTTCAGAGGAGTGTTTTACCAAATGTTCAGTGAAGGAATGTTGCTACTTCAGACCGATCGAGAGCACCATTCCTTCTTCAACACCACTGGCGCTGCTGACAGTTGACATCAGCTCAGACAATTACGGCATAACTCCATAACCACGTGGCATCTCGTCATTTAGGTCATCGTCCTCGTTATAGTCAGCAGCGGAGAGGAATCTTCCGCTGGTTCTCATTAAACTGTTTGATGTTCTCCATATTTAGCTAGCTCGCTAAGCTACTGTCAAGTTTACTATTGTATAAAACAGTCAAGCACTTCAACAGCTTTCCTTAAGAAATTAAATCTTCATCCCTCTGATCTCTCTCTGATTTCCATCCAATCTTCAAAAAGATCAAGCAAGCATCAAACGTACAAAATCAATGACATACTGCTCAACTCACTTAGATTCGGTGTTGGACTTGAGCACTTGACACTTTCCTAGTTTAGATCTTATTTGATGCATAATTTCCATTGTGTTGTCATCAATGGAGATTCTTCAGAGCCTATAAAAGTGAGATGTGGTGTCCCACATGGTTCTGTTTTAGGCCCGCTATTGTTCTTCACTTGTAACACGTAATTAGCAAACATAATGTTGGCTTTCACTTTTTACACTGATTGTACACAATTACACTAATTACAGCAGAGTTTTCCAAAAGCACTACAGCACAAAGATCAACCTTAAATGGTAGAACACTCTCTCTCTACTAGTTCTTTACCAGATGATCTTAACTTTATGATGCTTTCAGGAAACTTGGCCCAGTTTAGTCAAACTTTTAGTCAAAAGTGTCAATGGTAAAAGATGAGATGAATAAACTCATTCAGATGAATAGACATTCATTCATACATATCTTGGACATGGTCGCAGTTGATCCGGAGCCTACCCAGGGAGCACTGGATGGGAGGCGGGAATACACCCTGGATGTCCATCACAGCACATATACCAACCCTATAAAATTTGCAGTCATCCGAAAGACCTGGAGATGTCTCGAGTATGGTGGAGTTAACATCTGTGTTATTTTTTTGTTGATGTTGTTTCCTTGGCACCATTATAACTGTACCTCTGACACATGCACGAGGCCATGGTTCTGGACAAGAGTGGGATGATCCCTTCAGGTGATGGGAGAAACCTCGCCCCAGGTATTTTGGTATCTTACCACTGTACCAGTTGGTGGTGGTGAAGCAGGAGCTCAGTTTGTGTAAGAAGCTCTCTGTTTACTGGTCAATCTCTGTCCCAATCCTCACCTATGGCCATGACCAGAAGAATAAGGCCACAAGGGGTCACAGGAGGTGGAAGGTTCCACTGCTGGGAACCCAGCAATCTGAGTGAGCCTCTAAGGTTTTTTGGGCACCTTACAAGGAGGCTATATCAGGCACATCCCACTAGACAAAGACCCTGGGGCAGACCCAAGACCCACTCTAAAATATTATATCTCACAGATGATTTGGAGTCAACTGGGGATCCCTCAGGAGGAGCTGGAATCTGCAGCTCAGGATATGATATTCTGGACTGACCTTCTCAGCTTGTTGCCATAGTGACTCTCACCCGGAGAAGCAACAGGCAAATGAATAAACAAAATAAATTGTAATTAATTTAATAGCGATTGTAGATTAGTTAATTTACGTGTCTTATATCTTCTGGTGGTGCATGAGGTAGCACTGACCCGACTCTTAGCCCCAGGGTCGCGGGTTCGATCCTGAGCTCTGGTTATTGTCTATGTGGAGTTTCACATGTTCTCATAGTGTATGTGTTTTTTCTGAGTTCTGCAGTTTCCTCCCAAAAACATGTGGATGCTTTTGGATCCACCTCAACCCTGACCAGGCTGAAGCACTTACTGACGATGAATGAATAGATTATGGACTCAATAAAAAGACATCTATTAAATGAAGATGATTATTATTATTATTATTTTTTACCATTATGGTATTTCTGTGTAAGGGTCCCTGGAAGACTAGTGACAAGTCACTTCACTCACTTTAGTGGTTAGGCCACAGCTCTCCCACTGCTGTGGCCTGGGTTCGAGTCCCAGGCAGGGAACCAACCCCAGCCACTGGGATTGGGTGCAACAGTGCACTCAGTGCTGGTCCCAAGCCCAGATAAAATTGGGGAGGGTTGCATCAGCAAAGGCATCTGGTGTAAAAAAAACCTGTGCCAAATCAAATATGTGGACCAATGGTCCACTTTGGCGACCCCTAATGGGAGCAGCTGAAAGAGGAACAAGAGGAACATGGTATTTCTGTGTAGTATAATGTATAAAAATACACATTATTCAAGAACTTTATTGTTTACACACCTCTGGTTACTGCATAAAATTAAGTAAACCGAGAAGAACACAATATATATATATATACACAAAACACACAAGAGATAAAATAAAATTTAAAAAAGTACTATAAAAAGACAGAATATACTTTAAATATCCCACTGTATGCACAGTCAGTACAGTATGTGTGTAATGAGACAATTCAGGTATAACCCAGACTCTCCAGGTGTAGAGGGGAACAATAACAGTAACCAATTATTTATCAAAAGTTTTAATACAGCACTTCCTGATGTGCTGAAACAATAATCCAGGTCTTTTTTGGCATCCACATCTCAACAGTAGTCATGTATTACAGTCTTTAAAAGTTCATATTTAGGCTAATGAAAACAGTGGACCCCACCCTGCACGTACACACACACACACACACACACACACACACACACACACACACACACACACACACAGCTGTTATACTGGTTTCTCACACCTGACTCTAATGCCAGGCAAACATACTTGATTTATTACAGTCAGCAAGTGAGTAATAATGAGAAGAATTCTCTTCAACATATTTAACACTATGTTGCACTACACACACACACACACACACACAAATAAGGTGCTGACTCATTCAGCACCTATATACACAGCTCTATTTAAACACCAGTGACCCCAAATAATCTACATTCATTAAAAAAAACAAAGGGCCTTATTCATCAGTGTTGGTTTTTCCAGTATTTGTGAAGCTTGTGTAAGATACTGATTCTGAAAAAGATACACAGTACTGGACCAATCATGTTCAAGATTACAGGATGACATTTTAGCAACTTAGTTAACACATACAGATTCTAAACGATCAATAATGTGCGTGTGTACACATGGTCAATCATTCTTAAAATCTCAAATGTTTAAAAACATTATTGTATTAAAAAATATCTTTTGTATGAAAGATAAGAGTATTGTAAGTCGTTAGCAGCAGATCCTTTAAGTCCTGTAAGTTGTGAGGTGGCACCTCCATGGATCAGATTTGTTTGTCCAGCACATCCCACAGATGCTTGATCAGATTGAGATCTGAGGAATTTGGAGGCCAAGTCAACACCTTGAACTCTCTGTCATGTTCCTCAAACCATTCCTGAACAGTTTTTTGCAGTGTGGCAGGGAGCATTATCCTGCTGAAAGAGGCCACTGCCGTTAGGGAATACCGTTGCCATGAAGGGGTGTTCTTGGTCTGCAACAATGTTTATGTAGGTGGTATGTGTCAAAATAGCACCACATGAAGGCCAGGTCCCAAGGTTCCCCAGCAGAACATTGCCCAGAGCATCACACTGCCTCCACCAGCTTGCGTTCTTCCCATAGTGCATCCTGGTGCCATCTCTTCACCCAGCTGTCCACATGATGTAAAAGAAAATGTGATTTATCAGACCAGGCCACCTTCTTCCATTGCTCCAGGGTCCAGTTCTGATGCTCACGTGCCCATTGTAGGTATTTCGGTGGTGGACGGGGGTCAGCATGGGGACCACTCTGCGGCTACGCGGGCCCATACTCAGCAAGCTGCGATGCACTGTTTGTTCTGACACCTTTCCATCAGAGCCACCATTAACCTTTTCAGCAGTTTGTGCTGCAGTAGCTCTTGTGTGGGGTTTGGAGCAGAAGGGCTAGCCTTCGCTACCTGCGCACATCGGTGAGCCTTGGGCACCCATGAGCCTGTCGCTGGTTCACCGGTTGTCCTTCCTTGGACCACTTTTAGTACTGATTACTTGACTGTAATCTGTACAGTAAGTGACCAGCAACTGACTGTTCACTTGCTGCCTAATATATTCCACCCCTTGACAGGTGCTGCTGTAATGAGATAATCAACGTTTTTCATTTCACCCGTCACTGGTTTTAATGTTATGGTTGATCAGTGTATCTTTGCCCAATTATGTCTCTATGACTATTTTACTTAAGAAATAAAACACACAGGTGTTGTAGGAAAATAATCAACGATGAGGTGGTGTGATGCGGCGAAACACAAAAGGAGGTTACTTTTGTCTCCCTGAAGTTGATTATTTTCCTAGAACAGCACATCCTGAAGTGTTCTATCCCTCTAATACTGCAGCAATTTGTCAACAATTACATATTTCTGTTAATTGAAGAATGACACTCCACTCACTCCATTTATACTTCATGTTGTGAAACCAGTTCGCTCATGTTGTCACGTTATCTGTTTACGTGGAGCATCTGCTGTACAATTCCCTGTCCAAGTTACTATAGAAATGATAACATATAAGAACGAGTGCATTAATATAATCCTGTGATCTGCAGCTGCACTACAGTCAGAGCTGCTGTTGTGGAAAATAAATCAAAAAACCATCTGACCAATCAGAATCGAGGATTCTAGCGCCATGGTATGCAGCAAAGATTTGCTCCACATCAAACCGTACACTTATAGTATGTTTGAAGAGTGGTTTAAATCTGTTTTTTTCCCTATATATCTCTCAGATTTGATCGAATGCTTCTAAATAAGCTCTGAGCCACATGCTTCCTGCTCCTCGCACCTTTACGAGAGCAGCCTCGTGCTTTTTTTAAACCTCACACTTCTCTGCGCACATGCCTGTCAGCATCGCCCAGTGTCCGTGGCTAAACTGGAAATAAAATGGCGGATTGCCAGTGATAGCTGCGAAACAGCCAGAGCTCTGCATCTGGCCTTCTTTGGCCTTCTCGCTCTAATCATAAACAGACGAGCACCGTCAAGCTCTGGATCTAATCGTCTCTGTGATAAAGCCTCATGCTGGCGATTTGTTCGTGTCACTACTGTGAGGATGGATCGACTTACAAATATGGCCTGCTTTTTATTTCTAGAAGAATGTGAGAAATTAGACATAAAGATTAGATTTAAAGGGCCAGAAGCACAGCTCTGATTTTCACCAATTAAAAAACTTGGAAATATAATTATGTATCTTTTATTTGAAGTTAGACACAGTTCATACAGATGACTCAAAGATGATTGTCTGAAAGTGTCTTCTTCATGCCTGAATCACGAATAACTCTGGATGTCCTTCACAAGTGCACTACATAGGGTAGCACAGAAGTTTTGGCACCCTACATAGAGTAATGAATGCCCAAAATCAATCCATGTACAAATGAGTCTCTACTTCATACACTCTTTATTAAAAAAAAAAAAAAAAAAAAAAAAAAAAAAAAAAAAAAAAAAAAAAAAAAAAAAAAAAAAAAAAAAAAAAAAAAAAAAAAAAAAAAAAAAAAAAAAAAGTACTCAACTGTACCATTCCTTGTTGCTGAGTTGGTAGCCTCAAGCGTACACATTTTGTTTTATTTATATATATATATATATATATATATATATATATATATATATATATATATATATATGTATATATGTATGTATATATGTATATGTGTGTGTGTGTGTGTGTATAATATATAAAAGCACATGTACCTTATGTACTGTAAATCTTTAGCTTATAGCTTAAAACTAATGCTTTTTTCTTTTCGAGGTAAAATATATATATTAAATGTACAAAATGTGTACACTAGAGCAGTGGTTCTCAGCGTGGGGGACCAGGGACCCCCAGGGGTCCATGAAACATAGCCAAGGGGTCCGTGACCTTTTTGATTTTGTCACAGACGTGGAAATCACAACCCACATTATCAAATGTTATTATATTTAAGGGTCCAAGAACCAAAATCAACTCAGACCCACTGTATTCAGCAATAGAAAGCTCAGCGGCTCCAAAAATATTCTGCAATAAATCCATACTGAAGGGGTCCGTGGAATGTGTTTTACAGTTACAGACAGTCTGAGAACCCCTGCACTGGAGGGTGATGTACAAGCAAACAAGGTGAGGCAGATTTTAGTACTGTTTTTTCTGAGAGTGTATGTACTGTAGGCGCACTACATGTATGCACCCTACATAGTGCACTCCACATCCAACAGGAGCTCACTTGCTATAGTTGTGCATCACATGTCGTGTGTCTCTTCGTGTAGGTGTGTATGAGCGCGTCGGTGCTCCCGAGGCTCACTCTGTGTTTGCTCTGCAGGAGCAGCGAATTAAAAGGGAACTTCGATTTTTCCGTCTCACGGCTGCCTGCGTCTGTCTCTGAGGCGTGTGCGTCCTCTTCGCAGCCGGCTGCGCGTGACTGCAGGTCGAGCGTGTCCGATTTGATAAGTTTCTTAATCAGGGCTGAAAGTTGCAGACTGAGCAGGAGAACCAGGATTCCACCCTCACGGAGAACTCTGTAGATTTAAACACATTAATTTAAACACGCTTAAGCAAAATATTAACGGGGCGATTTGTGAGGAAATATAATAAAGCCTCCTGCTGCATGTGAAATTGTGTAATTCAATAGAAATTACAACTGTTGGCAAATTGCTGTCATATACGAGGAATAAAGCACTGCAGGACGTGTCGTTACAGGAAAATAATCAACTTCTTCATCACAGCATCACACACAATCAACTCAAATGTTGATTATTTTCCTATAACAGCATGTCCCTAAGTGTTTTATTCCTTATGCATCATATAACTGATTACTACATGAAGCAGGACCTCAACCATATTTCGATGAAGCCTCATCCAGAAGTGTGTATGTTTTTAATGATCTACCTCTCCATCTCAGCTAGAATGTGTGGAAGAGCAGACGCCGTGTCGTCACCGCAGCTGAACTTCCTGCCGAACGGGACGTCACACACCACCGCGTCTACAGAAGCTGCAGGCAGCGGCATCGCTACGGTACAGAGAGAGAGAGAGAGAGAGAGAGAGAGAGAGAGAGAGAGCGT